GATTACGTTGCTAACGCTTAACCATCACAGGCCAACGCAACGCAGGACACTCAACCTTGAGCGATCTGCACGTCTCAGCGACAGTGAAGCACTACGGCGATTAGGTATTCCGCCACTATATTTTCGTGTTTCTATGACCAGCATTCGAACGGCAAAATTACTCAGATATTTTTCTCGTAAGCTTGTCTTATCAATCAATCGTGATCCGGCGAAGTCCTTCGTTCGCTCGCTACCCAGCGGGCGTAATCATGCACGCAGCAGAACGCGAACTGGCCTCTTTTCCCTCAAAAGCCGCATCAGAATCAGTACCTAAAGCTATACCCTGGACAGACGACGCTGGAAATCCTCCTGGTGACGGTCGCAACCATAGTCTTCGTTCAACTTCGCCGGCTTCTCCGCCCCGTCCTGCTCCTCCAACGCTTCCTTCCTCCGCATCGCAGTCGCTTTCTCCCCTTACCCGGCCTCCGCAACTCTCTCCGTCCAAGCAACAACACTCCTTTCTGGGCCTGCAAGCTGCGCCGGTTCAGCAAATGTCTCCTCTACCACCGATGCATCTTACACAAGGGGTACGTCCAGTGGCCGAACTGCAGCCGCAACCGCAGCCGCAGTCGCAGCCGCAATCACTGGCACAGGCACAACCGCATGCGGAGTCGCGGGCGCAGGCGCAGTCACAACCATCGCAGTACCGATCACCACAGATGGCCGCGCCGCAAGCTGCGGAGACTCAAGCCGCTCACGGCGCGGAAGATCATTTCGGTGCGCAACCCGCGGGTTCCGTCAAGCGCCAGCTGCTGCAGCAGCAGCAGCAGCATCAGCAATCCCTGCCGATCGTGACTCCGTCAGTGCCGCCGTCGCATCACATGCCGCCGCCGCCGTCCTCGCTGCAGCACCGCCCGCCCATGCCGCACCATCTCCCTCCGCTCCCCGTTCCCCAATGGCGCTCAGGGCCCGCGGGAAAGCCCATGCCCTCCTCGTCTCTCTGGCCGCCACACGCTCCCGCCGGCTCCTTCCCTCAACCTTTTGTTTCTAGAGATTACATCCACTCTGCACTTCCGCTGCCGCACAGCTACCCTCCCCCAGACTGGGCTGCTGGCGGAGGTAACGACGCAACAGAGCGCGGGAGCGGAGGAGGCGGGGGAGGCGGGCGCAGGTTCAAGCGGCGGTCGTCGCGGCAGTCGGGTCCGCCCGTTCCGCACCCGCTCGGGCTGGACTACGGAGGCCCGGCCCCGCGCGGGTCCCGAATGCGGCGCCCGGATAAGCAGGCGCAGGCGCAGGGGCAGGCGCAGGCGCGTCAGCCACGTCAGCCGCGACAGCCGGGGCAGCTCCGGCAGCAGCAGCAGCACAAGAAGATTTGGAAACGGCGGCGTGCGCCCGGGCCGGGTTTTGCTTCAGCCGCTGCGGCGGCGGCGGCGGAAGTCAACGGTTTGGCGGCGCCGCTGCCGCCATTGTCGCTGCCGTCTCCGGGAGACGCGGAGGGGATGTTGGAGGATGGGGAGTTCCGGCCGCCGCGCCTGCAGGAGCTGAAGCAGCGGAACCGCGTCGGAACGCGGAGGTTCTTCTCTAAGTTTAAACGCCGATATCCTCCGTCCTCCCAGCAACAACAGCAGCAGCAGTCCCATCAGATGCTTTCTTCTCCGAACCCCCTTTTCGCTATGCCCAGCGCTCCGCGCAACACAACGTCGTTCATCATGCAGGCGCGCGGAGGCGCAGGTCCGCTTACCCCAGCAGGCGCAGGCACAAGCGGAGTTGGCGCCGGCGCTTCCCCCTCCCCCGCGACAACTCCGCGCCTGCTCCCAACTCCCCTGGCGTCTTCTTCCCCCGCGCCGTGGGGAGTGGGTTTGTCGAGTAGTCAGGATGGAGCAGGGGAAGGCGACATCCGCGAGTTTAGAGTTAATCCGTACGGGTCTATGAACGGAGTGATTAGACTAAGGACGCCTGACGGAGAGGACGACGACGACGGCGCCGGCGTCTTTGGCGGCGGCGGCGGCGGCGGTGGTAGCGGCGGGAGCGTGGGCGGAGTTGGTGGTTTTTTCCGCATGGGCGGCGGCGCGTTCGGCGGGGACGACTCGGAGGGGAGCGCGGGAACGGTGGAGAAAGGGCCGTCGCGATCGACGGGCGGTTCGGGCGACTCGGAGGAGCAGGAGAACACGTCGACAAGCGAGAGCCACGGAGGTGGCGCCGCGGACGGCGAGGGAAGCAGCGGCGGCGGGGGGAGCGTCGGAAATGGCGCTGCTGGCAGCGGCGGAAGGGGAGGCGGAGCGGGAGAGGGAGGTGAGGTAGGTGAAGGGGGAGGAGGGCGGGAAGCAGCAACGGCTGGGGGCGGCGCAGCAGTGGGCGGGGCGGGGGCGGGGGCGGGGGCGGGGGCGGGGGCGGGGGGGGATGGAGGGGAGAGGAGGCTTGACTTGGGGCTGCAACGATTCCAGATGCTCTACACGGGGGACACCGCGGGAGCCAATGGGATGATGCCACATCATCCGGTGATGGGCATGGCAGCGCGCGGATCCAGCGGAGATTCGTTCCTGCGAGCGAGGATAGACGAGCAGGAGACGCAGCTAGCACAGCTGGAGGAGGAGAATCTGACGCTGAGAGAGGTAAGCAGGCAGGCGCCAGGCGGTCATTGGTCATGCCGCTCATAACTGTAGTTGGTTGGCTGGCTCATCTTTTCATTTCCTTCTCTTTGTTTGTCCGTTTCTGTGGTCAGCCAACGCTTCTGCTCATTTCGGTATGCATCCCATCTGAAATCGGCACCTTCTAATTCTCGACTTTCTTCCCTCCCCCCCCCCCACACCCATGGATTCTCCCCGTCCCTCTCCCCTTTCTCTCTGTCAATCCGTTTCTCCTGTGTGCAGCGGTTGTACGTGGCAGAGCAGGAGGTGAAGGAGCTGCGGCGGCGCCTGGGCGAGGGGTCAGACGAGCTGGTTGAGATGGGCGGTGACAACAGCGACGACGAGGCCTCTTGCGCTGCTGCACATCCTGCTGCCGTGTGAACCCTCCGCCTCTGGCTCTTCTGGCGCCTCTCTGTTCCTCAACGCCTCCAGTCTGCAATCGCTGTGGTTTCTGTCCGGTGGTCGTGCTTTCTCACTCTTACCACAGTGGGAGTTGGAGTGCGGGAGTGGGAGTGGGCGTGGACGTGGAAGTGGGTTTGGGAGTAGGTTGTGGGTGTTGGTGGGGGGGTGGATGTCAGTAGGAGTGGCTGAATGGAAGCTCTAGCAGATCCTGGTGGTGGTCGTGGTGGTGGTCGTGGCGTGGTGGTGGTGGTGGTGGTGGTAGGACAAGCAGCAGTGGTATCAGCAGCCAGTGCAGTTGCTGCAGCTAAATCTGGGCGTGGTGGTGGTGCTGGCAGCGTCACAAGGCGACACATCATTGTGTGGGTGGCATGGCACGCTCTGTACCACGTGTGCTCAGCCTGTTCATACTTCCTTCCTTACTAGTTCCGCTACTTCAGCCCTTCCCTCGTTCTCCTCTCTCTTGCATTCTCCATTTCCCACACATCCGAGTGTGCGTCAAACTGCTGCTGCATGTATCCATGCTCCCAGCTCTCAGCTCATGGTGCACTGCCTGTGAATTGCCTGCTCCACACCACCACGCTGTATACCTGTGACCACAGGGCCTGCCTTCCTGACACAGGGCTCCGGCCTCAGGCTCTCCAGCCACTTAGTGTGTGGCTGCTGTGGCTGCTGTGGGTGCCGTGGCGGCTTGTGGTCGTGGCTGTCAGTGTCCAAGAGACAGGGGCAGCTGGTGAGCCCATCTAGCCTCTCCTCTCCACCATTCATTCCCTCCATACCATCCTCTCCTTTCCCGGACTCTCGTCCTTTCTCCTCCGGTTTTCTCCCCACTGCATTCAGCCAGTGTGTGTGTGGTGTGTGGTTCTATCTTCCCATATCTATATGCTCCACGGGTCATAGTCATGGCACTTCATGCCTCCATGCCTCCGTGCTGTCATGCTGCCATGACGATTCGGCCCTGTGCAGGCAGCAGATGCACTCTCTCGGTGCACTCTCGTGGCGGTGTGCTTTCCCTGTCCATCTGTGACTGACTGACTCCTCCATCCATCTTTTACCTTGTGCTCCGGCCGGATCCAGACTCATGGTACCAGTGCCACTCACTAGTTGCTGTTTTACTGTAGCTCTTGCTGCTATGCTTATGTTGTTTGAGTAGGTTGGGTTGGATTCCCTTCCCATGTAGCATGATAGTTGATGATGAATTTAGAGTTTCAGACTGTCCTCCAGCTAGAATTACCACTGTTGTTTGGATTTTGTTCATCCGAATTCAACGCACCCTTCTAAGGGTGTGTGTGATTCCGAAAAAACGCATCTCATCTTGAGTCGAATGTTGAGTCACATTCAAAGTGAACTTGGATCGAACCGTGCGTAGTAATTTCAGTTGAATCACTGCACTAGCACGGGCTCCCTCTCCTCTCCGGTCTGGACAGAGCCTTGCCCAACCCCAGTGCCAACATAACGTAACATGCATGTGTTCCTGGAGGATCAGGTCCGGAGGAATCGGTACCAGTTCAGTAGCAATTCAGTACCAGCTCCACCACACACCCATCCATCACCACTAATACCGTGTCGTGGGTTGTGCCGTGTTGCACATCCAACGCATTATAATACGGTAACGTGTACTAGAGATTTGTGAGCATAGGGGCAGCTGTAGATCAGCCTCGGCGCCTCGCCAAGTGTGTGAATCCCCAACACAGAACCAGCTGAAAACTGTACATGCTAAGGCGGCACCAGCTTGATAATAATGAGGAAGGGAATTATGAAGACTGTACGGGTAGCGTGTGAGGTTGAGCGACGGGGAGGGAGACAGGGAGGGAGGAGAGCGTGAGCCAGCGAGAGCAGGGCTGGAACCAAACTCCATCGTGGGGGTGAGCATAGCATAGCATAGCGCAGCGTAGCATAGTACGGTAGTACCAGTAGGTGTGCGAGTGTGGGTGTGGAAGTGAATGCAGGTGCGTGGCCCACAGTAGCAGGGCTTGGCTTCTCTCTAGGTTCAACCTACTCTAGGAACATCTTGGAGAGGCGCTCATATTTGCCAATGTTGTGCCCGCCTGCATAGTGCACTATAAAGTCCCCTGGCGTGTACTCGTTCTGCGTGTGGCTGCACGGCACACTCATGTACCTGCCAAGGGGGGGTGAGGGATGGGGTAATGGATGTATGTTTTTTTTAGGCGCCTCGAATGTTGTGCTCGCCCGCATAAGGCACTATGATGAAGTCCCCCGGGGTGTACTCGTTCTGCGTGTGGCTGCACGGCACACTCATGTGCCTGCCAAGGAAGACCGGAGGGGACGGATGAACGTAACGGTCATCAGTTACAGTAAACGCTTGATAAAAAAGGGGACGGTTGGTGATGGGAGGAGACTGCCTGGAAACAGTTGGAATACCACAGCATGACGTGGCATGATACCAGTTAGACATGATGCTGACGTGGCGCCATACCTGTATGGGATGATGCTGACGTGGGCATGGAAATCCTCCGGGTGCTTGAGGCGGTAGAGGTCAATGGCGTCATGGTCCCAGAACTCCTGCCTGATGGATGAGTGGTAGAACTGGTACTGCGCCTCCAGGAACGACTGTGATTTGAAATGGGAGGACGGCATTGGGGGAAGGATAGAAAGTTGGCACAGGGAAACGGCATGGTGGCTGGAACTTGGTTCCACAGCACGGTCCCAGAACTCCTGCCGGATGGACGAGTGGTCAAACTGGTACTGCGCCTCCAGGAACGACTGCCAAACGGTATGGGGGCGAGAGGCAGCCGATAGAGAGAGGCGGCCGACAGAGAGAGGCAGCCGACAGAGAGAGGCAGCCGACAGAGAGAGGCAGCCGACAGAGAGAGGCGGCATCGCGGGTAATGAGGCGCCTCAAAAGTCGCATTGGAGTGTGGGTGCTTCCAACTCTCCTGTCGGATGGAAATGTAGTAGAGCTGGTATTGCGCCTCCAGGATCGAATGTGAGGAGAGTGACATCGGGGGGGGGGGGGGGGGGGGGGTAGGGAAGCAGTCCCGTAAAGAGCAATGACATGGCGGTAGCAGAGCGTGCTTCCAACACTCCTGCCGGATGGGAATGTGGTACAACTGGTACTACGCCTCCAGGAACGACTGCCAGATGATGGCATGAAGGATGAGAGGCAGTCGGACATACATGGGACATCGGCATGGTATCAGAACATGGAGATGGATGGATGCACGTGTGGAGTAATTAGTACCCTCTTTTCACTCCATCCCCTCGCCCTCCCCCTCCCCATCCCTCCAACCCTTACCTCCCCTCTTCCCCTCGCATCCCCTTTCCCCCCTCACCTTGCTCCAAGCCGTGCTGCGCATGACATACACGCCTGTGTTGACCTGTGACTCGGCCCTCGGCTCCGCATACCGGCCATACCGGTACCCCATGGTGTACACAGCATCGCTGCGCGACGTGTTGTAGGGTGTGGGAAGGTCGAGCAGCGAGTGGAAGGAGAGCGTGTGGTTGAGGATGAGCGCATCCGCGTCTATGTGCACCACTGTGTCTGCAAAGGAGAGCACCAGCAGCATGGCCCGCACCTGCAGCACCACGGGGGGAAGGGAAGTGGAGGCAGGGGGGCAGCGCGTGGAAGGAGAGCGTGTGGTTGAGGATGAGTGCATCCGCGTCTATGTGCACCACTGTGTCTGTGAAGGATAGAACAAGGAGCATGGCTCGCACCTGGTGGGGTTAGGGGGAGAGAGCGGAGGGGAAAGAAGAAGCTGAGGACATCGGATGAGAGCACCCGCATCGGCGTCTATGTGCACCACTGTATCCGCAAACGATAGAACAAGCAGCATGGATAGCACCTGCAGCAGCAGTGGGGAGAAGCGGGGGGGAGAGGAGAGGAAGGAGAGCGTGTGGCTGAGGATGAGTGCGTCCGCGTCTATGTGCTGTGCAGTGCACCAGTGTGTCTGTAAAGGAGAGCACGAGCAGCATGGCTCGCACCTGGAAGGGGACGTGGGAGAGGGCGGAGGGGAAAGACGAAGCTGAGGACATCGGATGAGAGCATCCGCGTCTATGTGCACCAATGTCTCTGCAAAGGAGAGCACGAGCAGCATGGCTCGCACCTGGAAGGGGGTCGGGGGGAAGAGGAGGAAGGCGGGGCGAGTGACTAGCTGAGTGAGGAAGTTGGTAAGTGAGCAGGAAATGAGCGAGTGAGGGAGTGAGCGAGGCAGTGAGAGAGATTGAGGGAGGGAAGGAGGGAGGGAGGGAGGGAGGGAGGGAGGGAGGGAGGGAGGGGGGGGAGGGAGGGAGGGAGGGAGGGAGGGAGGGAGGGAGGGAGGGAGGGAGTAAGGGGGGGATGGAGGGAGCGATTGAACGAGTGAGAGAGGCAGACAGGAAGGGTACGCACCTTGGACCAGGCGTGGGGGCGCACATAGTCTAGGCTAACAGCCACCTCGCAGTATCTGCATGCATGGAGCGCACAGTATAGCAGCCGGTTGCGCCGCATCAACACCACATAGTCCTGCCCACGCCCGGTGCAACCGAGCAAGAGAGAGTGAGAGTAAGCGAGAGGAAAGGAGGCAGAGAGTGAGAGTGAGCGAGAGATCAGACAAAATATAGGATGGGGCAGTGGGAGGAGGGATATGCATGGAAAGGCGGGGATAGGGATGTATGCAACGAGGGATGTTTAAGAGTGTGAAGGGAACACAGGGAGGGAGCGATTGGCGGAGAAGAGGGCGAGACAAGATAAGAGCCATTAGATCAAGCTCTTGAGTTCATTCAGCTTTCCCTCACTGAACTCCACGTCACAAATCACACGCCTGCCCGCACACCCTCAGGCCCCTAGAACAGCCACAGGGCAAGCAGATGGGCGGGTGGGCGGGCGGGTGGGGGGGCAGGCGGGCAGGCGGGCAGGCACGGACGGACCTGGGGCAAGTCCAGTGCGACAGTGAGCAGCGTGAGATTGCCGTGGCCGAAGCACAGCGATGTGGGCTTCTCAGACCAGCGCTGCTGCCGCTGGAGTAACTGCTCGTCTATGCCATCTGCTGCTGCCGCTGCCAGCGCTGCTCCCAGCCCGTGGCTTACTCCCGCCCCCTCTCCGCCTTTCTCCCTTGCTGCTGCTGCTTGCGCTCGTGCGGCTGCGGCCCACTTGCTGCTCGTGTGCTCCGATACGAAGTCTGCAGGGCAGAAGGAAGGAGTGAATTGGAAATGGAAATGGACATGGAAAGGGAAAGTGGAAATCGAGTCTTGGGACCTGTCGTGTGTACGAAGCCCGAGGCTGAGGAAATGACGGGTGAAAGGAGAGACTGTCATGTACAATGGGAAAGTAGGAGTGGTGGTGAAGATATGGGCGGTAGTGAGCAGCTGAGACAGATGGAATGAGAATGAGCAGCTGAGACAGACAGAGAGGTAATGAGCACCTGAGACGGAGGGGTCTGGGGGAATGTGCAGGGCGCGGCGCACAGCAAAGGCGCAGAAGGCGATGAGCGCGAGGTAGCCCACGCGCATGAGCGCGCGCTGGCGCGTGGAGAAGCGGCGGCGCTTGGGGGAACCGGCCATGAGGAGGAGCAGCGGGAGGTGGCGGGGAGGGGGAGATGGGCGGAAGGAAGGGGGTGGGGAAGGAGGGGGAGGGAGAAAACGAGAGGTAGCGGGAGAGTGAGGGTGGGGGAGAGAAGGGGGCGCGGGGAATAGGAGAGGGTGGGGGGGTCGGAGCTCGGACTACGGAGAGAGCGAAATGCTGTGAAACGTCAGGAAAGGGAGGAGGCGCAGGTGATGCTGGTGATTGTGTTGGGACGGTGCTGGGAGAGTGAATTCTGACGCGCTTCGCTTGCATCCTACGCTGCGACCCTCCTCAAACCCGTCGACTGTCGCCGTCTGTCGCCACTGCCGCCGTTGTCGCCAGTGTCTTCGCTGTCTTAGCTATCTCGCTTGCTGTGAGCCCGTTCCCTGCGCTGGATTCCGCAAGCCTAGTAATGTACCCTTCGCCTGACTGCTCTAGTGACTAAATAATACTACTTCGAGCATCCTTCGACTACATCCGCTTATCGCCAGGCCACGATCTTCGTGTTTGTGCAGCTGCCATTGTCGCACTCAGCGGCTTGTGTTTTCGTAGTCGCATCCTCCTCCTCTCCCCGCCGCATCTCCATGCGACAAAACTGCCCGTATATCGAAGCGGCGAGGAACGCGACCGCAGAGTGGAGCGTTTTGGGTTACGACGAAAGCACCACTGGCGGTGAAAGTCGTAGTGGTGCTTGAGAAAGGCTGCCTCGGGAATGTCAGCCGAAAAGTGGGGGGGAATCTCGAGGTTGGATGAAATGATCAGCAGAAAGCAGAAATAGGGGAACGTGAAATTCTGCCGAAAGAGTTTGTCGTTAGCAGCTCTCCCGAAACCCGTTTGTCATACTCCGAGTACACTTCCTTGATCCAACATAAGTGTTTACACAATTCCTGTTAGTGGGCTCAATGCCCTGCTATCATGAGCTCGTTGGAGGTACCGTACTATTCCAATGAAAGCTAATTCTCAGTGGTAGTTGTGCTTGAAAGCAACATGGATATATCGTACAAGGAACAATTATCCTTCCATTACTGCATGACATAAGAGCTAATTGCCTAGAGGTGAAAGAATAGGAGCAAAAAAGGATGCACTTCAAAAAGGTACACAAAAAGGGTCAGGACTAAAAACAGTCATACGCCCCCCCGTATCTTCCTCAGTAGCATAAAGTTTACAACTTGGATCGTCCAGGGATCAAGGGAGCGGTCTGCTGGAAGTAGGCAGACGCAGCCGCCACTCCAGAGCCAAGCACCACTGGGTATCCCACATCTCGAAGAGTCATTTCAGTTCCTGCTAGGGCTCCAAGGAGTGCAACCTGCAGAGGAAAATAGCAAGGCAAGAGAGTAGGAAACAAGTAAGAGTCAGTAAAGCCCGGGCCCGAGACAATGCAAATCAAGCCAATAGGGCGCCACAAGTACAGTAGCATAACCATTTTCACTTGACTCCACCTTCCATCAAACACCCATCCTCATGCCCATTCGCTCTTTCCCACTTTCCCCCCCTTCCCCTCCCCAGCGTTCCCCTCACCCATCCTCCTCCTCCACTCACCTCATTCATCTGCCCCAGGTGGCCGATGCGGAACGCCTTGCCATTAATCTTGTTCAACCCGAGCCCGAGCGACAGGTTGTACTTGTTCCACGCGGTGCGGACAATATCATTGCTGTTGATATGCGCCGGCACGAGAATCGTCGTCACGGTATCGCTCTTCCACTCGGGACTCTTGGTGCACAGCTGCAGGCCCCACGCCGCCACAGCGCGCCGAGTGCCCTCTCCCAGGCGCGCGTGCCTTGCGAACACGTTGTCAAGGCCCTCCGCAAAGAGCATGTCGAGCGATGCGCGCAGACCGTAGAGCATCTGGGAGGAGGGAGTGTACGGCCAGTAGGTGCCCGCCTGGTAGAACTTGAGGTAGTCTGCCCAGTCAAAGAACACGCGGGTCGACTTGCTGCGAATGAGGAGCAGCGGCATGGGAGTAGGGAGAGAGAGGGACGGAGTGGGAAGGTTAGGAAGGAGGAGTGGAGGGATTGCTGGAAGGGTGCGGGAAGTAGGGGCTGTATATCGCAAGAAGGTTGGTGGCTTGGTAGCTTAGGACTTTCAGGCTCTTGGCAGCTCTTGTTTGGTCTGTCCGTTCTCCCTCTCGCATTCCGCATTCATCCAAGCACCGAACCAACCCAATGACCACAACATAACACAACCTCAAACAGCTTTCCCTCACAGCTCCCACCCTCCCACCCCCCTCCCCGCACCCAATCCCCTCAGTAACCCCCCCACTGTTCCGTACCTGTGCTTGGCGGCCTCGAGGGCGCGCGGGCGCGCGCAGACAATGCCGAGACCCGTGGGGAGAGACAGCGCCTTCTGGGACCCGGTCAGCGCCACGTCCACGCGCCACCTGCACGCACACGCACGAATACAGACAGAGAACCAGAGCGACGTGAGAGGGGGAATTGAGCCACGCGTGGAGATACGGTTACACGAGAGATGAAAGAGAGAGAAAGAGAGAGACATTGACTCGTGCAAGCGCTTATAGAAGAGAGCAGCGACAGAGCAGATACTAGCGACAGCATACTTTGCCTAACAAATTCCACTAAAAAAACGGTCGGAAGGAGTGCGAGAGAGTTCGATGTGAGGGGGGAGCAGGAGGCGGAAATGGGGTCGTACTTGTCCTGATAGAAGGGAATGGCGCCGATGGAGCTGACACCGTCCACCATCAGCATCGCCTTGTGGTTGCACTCGTCTGCGCGCATGGGCGGGACATTCAGAAGCGGCGCATGTGAATATGTGAGGGAGAGGTTGGTGGAAGAGGGGTAAAGACTAAGAAGGGAAGACTGGTAAGAGGCGGGACGGGAGGGGATGGATGGTATTGGACGAAGAAGAAGCAGCAACGCTACCAACGGCACCGCCCGGCACCGGAACTCACCGAGCACTTGTCGCACTTTGCCGATGTCGTTCGTGACGCCCGTGGCCGTCTCGTTGTGCACGACGCACACCGCCTTGACCGTGCCCGCGCGGTCCGCCAGCAGCTTCCGCCGCAGCACGTCCAGGTCCGCGCCCGCGCCCCACTCGCAGTCCACCACGTCGACGTCGAAGCGCAGGCGCTGCATCTGGTCGATCCAGAGGAGCGAGAACTGGCCGATACGGAACGAGATGATGCGGTCTCCCGGGGAGAGCGTGTTCGTGAGCGCCGACTCCCACGCGCCCGTGCCTGCAGAGGCGGTGCAGGGAGCGGAGGGGGAAGGGGGGAAGGGCGAGGGACGAGCGAAAGTTGGAGGAGAGGGATTGGAGTGAGTTTAATGGCTGGAAGTGGTACGGGGACGGGAGGTTACTGGAACGCGGAAGATATTGACGGTAGATGAGCATTGGTAGGGATATCCGCAGAAGAAACGGAGTTGAAGGTCCAATATTATATATATTTGTAAAGATGACAGTGGTCATCGAGACAAGGAGACTCGAGGTATGTGTGCCTGGCAGCAGGTAAACGTACATCCGGTGATCCCACCCTATATGCTGGCGAATCCAAGGGCAATCGCGGAAAGAAAAGATAAATAATACAACCGTGATTCAGAAATTCAACCCTGCCAGAGTTTAGGTTAGCCGAGATAAGTTCAGGGTCGAAGCGTACCTGTGGCGGGGAAGATGAAGCAGGTGCCCTCGGTGGAGCCGAAGAGCTTCTTGCTGTCCTCGATGACGCTCTTGCTCAGAACGGGGAAGGCGGGCGACCGATGGTCCTCATTGCCGCGCAGCATGGCGCGTTGCACCTGCTCGGGGACATTCGTCGGGCCGGGGACGAACAGGTGGTTGCGGCCGGGACCGGGATAGTACTCCATGGCTGCTGGCGCTGCTGGTGGAAGTGGACAGAGGAGGCGGTGTAAGGTCGTGCGTTGCGGCGCCTGCTAGGCTTGAAAATCTTGTGATTAGAGTTGCGGAGCGGAGTCCGATAGTGAGCGGGAGGACGCAAGGTATGAGCGGCAGCGAGCAGCTGGGAGGAGCTCAGGCAATGGAGAGAGAGATTAGGAAATCTGAATGCCTGATAGCACAGGAATGGGAATGCCGATGTTTATATATTATTGGGAAATGGGCAGCCACTTCGAGGGGAGATGTGCATCCTGTGTTGCACGCTGGGTGGAAGCGAGGGTGGATATTAGCAGCGAAAGCCCCCCTCCAATTCGACAGTGTCAAGGAAGAATTCGCCTGTGGCGACGATGCACAGTTGATTTCGCAGCGTGTTACGATGATGCGAACAACGTTCGCAACAACTGGCGAAGTGGTTGGTGCTTGGGTGAATGCACGCACCTAGAACTAGCTCGAACCACTCACAGCACGAGGCGATGCGCGCTTGCGCTTGGTTGACCTGGCGCGGTTCGTTCTCCCCACCCTTTCGCGGACCTGGTCACAAATCCAGCCTTGAGGCAGAGGGGAATGGAGGATCAGTGCTCCAAGCTGGTTTGCCACAGCTTTGATGCCACGTAGGCTTGTTTTGATTGGAAAGAGTTTCTTTCGCCACGTCAACAGGTGGTGGGGAGTGCGTGGGACTGCATCCCAAGTGAGGCTCGCCTCTTCAACCTCGTCCTTGTCCAGACACACACTCGTTTGGCTGAGTCCCTCCACACCACACGGCACAAATGTAGCTCTCAAGGTACATGACCAAGTACATCCCACGTGGAATGAACCGAGCCTACAAACAGCCTTTCACACACCAGGCCTCGATAGAGATCTACGGTTGGCTCCAAATACATTGACCAGATCCCCACGTCGTCACCCAACCAATCACAATTTCCGAAGCTGGCTTCTTTGAGGAGACACCGCAATTTCTCGGTACAGAACAATTTACGAGCGGCTTTGCACGGTTACATACTGGGTATTGTGTGCGAGGCTCGGGGCCAAGCCGACACTTGTCCACCACACAGCCCCTAGCCACCCAAGGCCCCCCCCGCACCTGCTCCAAACCTGAGGCACCTTCCCCCCACCTCCCCGCCCTACCCCCAAGGTCACCCCGTAGGTCCCCCTACGTCCAGTATAGCTCCTAGGATGATCCGCTTCGCCCACCCATCGACAATCAACCCCACCCCATCTCACCCCACCAAACCCAACCCAATCTACCCACTTCAGGAAGAGATGCCACTGGCTGATCATCAAGTAATTCAGCGCACCACGTGCCATCACTGCCACAAACACAACCACTCCGTGACTATATCTCATCTCCGCAACTTGCGCGGAGCCAACTGCATGACTCTCTAGTTCTCCCAGCTCGTATTGGCTGCTTGCAAAACAACCCGTAACGTTCCTAGACGTTTCTAGGGAAGGGTCGGCCTCATGGCTCTGGCCCACCACGACTTGACTCGGCCATGCCTGCAATATCGCGTGGAGCCCACTAATTTAATCGCAACGCGTCTCATCCCTGCGTCATCCGTTATTCGCCTCTCCCCGTCCGTCCGCAAGCTGGATCTCGTCGGCGAGTCCACTAATTTAGCCGCCACGTCAGCAGCCACATCGCATCCACTATCCGAGCTGTTGAACAGCTCCACGCTCCGTTTAAGAAGCCCAAGCAGACGTGGCGCCTCCGCAACACGGTCTTCAGCGGCAGCGTCGGATTATCCAGGATCTGTGGAGCGATCCGCGGAAGAGAGCGAAGCAGGAAGCTCTGGCGGCGGCGGAGCAGCGGCGGTTAATGTGCTGGATCGGGGGACTAATGCAGAAGAGGCATCGCTGCTTGCAGAGCGTAGAGGTAACGCGCTGGGGGAGTCGCGGGACGGCTTTTTCTGGAGCGATTCAGAAGACGAGGCAGGAGGAAGGCATGGAAATGGCCGTGGCGATGACGATGGTGATGGAGGGAATGCGATGCGCGATACTCACTCAACAACCTCTTTGTCGCCGCCGTCGCGACTGTGGCACGTGTTGTCCGTGATCAATGACAGTGTACGTACGCTCTTTTGCGTCATCGCAACAGTTTACTCACTTTTGCCTTTTCACTGTGCGAAACGTAACCCAATAGGAGATCCACACAAACGGTCCTTGGAGGTTAAAAACGGTACAGTCTTGCCTCCATCACTTGTTTGCCTTACGTTTGTGAGATTTCTAGAATATGTACCTAGAGCGATTAAAGCCGTTGCCATGATGAATACATATCCAGATAACCAGCAACCCAACTCCCGTGATTCTCCAAGACGCTAATCACTCTCGTAACAACTCATTCTATTCCTCTCCCTCCCTCCCTCCCTCCCTCCCTTGTTTCCTTTGGCTCCACCTCTTTCTTTTCTCCCTCTCCCCCCAACCCGCCCTTCTCTCCCGCCCATCCCCCCTACCTCTCCCCCCCCCTCCCCCCTCCATCCTCCCCCATCCCCCGCGCCCCCGCCAACAGACCAAGTGGGTGGCTACAGTCGCGACAGCCGTGACGGTGCTCGCGACGCACAACCGAGCCGCGGCGTGGTTCGTGGTGGGCGCCGTGCTCAACGTCGCCAACGGCAAGGCGCTCAAGCGCATTCTCCGCCACGAGCGGCCCGAGACGGCGCGCGGAAAGAAGGCGGATCCCGGCATGCCGTCGTCGCACGCGCTGAGCCTGTCGTACCTCTCCGTCTATGCCGCTGTTGCAGGTAATGCTCTCAGCTGGGTTGGGAATTTGAGATGGCTCTCAGGGAAGGGGAAGGGTAATGCTCTCAGAGTAGGTGGGGGGTGGGTGTGGGCGGGGGGGGGGGGGGGGGGGGAACAGACGGGAAAGGGTAATGCTCTCAGACTGTGGAATTTAGGCGTCCCTAAACCCTGGCATTCCTTCTCTTTGACTTGGCGCTGTTGCAAGTATTTCTCTCAGGGTGGGGGATGGAAGGGAAAGGTTAATAGAAGTAAAAGGTTGGGCGAAAGGGAGTGGGATGCGGAGGGAGGAAGAGGAGGAAGGAGGGAACAGTGGCGGGAGGGGTGTGGAGAGGGGGGATAGTGTGTGTGAGGAGCGGTGTGGATGAGGGAGAGGAGGAGAGAGTGACTCTCACGTGCTGGAGGAGAGTGGAAACGGTAATGCTTCAGCTCCAGCATCACTCTCTCTTGCTTTCCCTTCCCTCAAACATCATCCACCCACCCATCCACCCTTCCCTCAAACATCATCCACCCACCCATCCACCCACCCACCCACGCACATTGGCCTACAGCTCTGAGTCGCTGAGAGTCACATGGGGTGTCACCATACAGACACCATAACTGCCTCTTGAATCGACTCAAAATCTTTCCGCTTTCCTTCCCCACCTCCCCTCTCCCTCCCCCCCTCTTCCCACATGGCCCTCCTTCTCCAGGTCTGCAGTGCTATGGCATGACACCATACACCATAACTGGCGCCTCTCTACTGGTCTCTCTTGCGGTCTTCTTGGTAAGCCATAGCTCAGGAGCAGTGCTTGCTGGCACGCTCTAGGAAGCTTTGTGACAATATCCTTCCTTGGTCCCTCCCTGCTATATCATCGCTATCCCTTCCTCCCCTTGGCCGACTCATTCCACATCACGTAGTTTCCTCGTGTTCCGTCCATGTGACGACTTTTGAGGCGCCTCAACATTTCCCATCGCTAAATTTCCTCATGTTTCATCATGACTTGCGGCTGTGCCAGCTCGCCTGTAGACCTTGCATCGCATGTGGCTCTGCTGTCCCTGTTTTCCTGTCTCTCCCTCGTCGCCCCCTCCCCCTCTTTGCCCTCGCTCAAAATCTCCCAGCACCCTTCCATCCTCACTCCTGCCACCCCTTGCCTCTGAGTTCTGACATGTCCTCCTCCTCCTCCTCCTCCTCCTCCTCCTCCTCCTCCTCCTCCTCCTCCTCCTCCTCCTCCTCCTCCTCCTCCTCCTCCTCCTCCTCCTCCTCCTCCTCCTCCTCCTCCTCCTCCTCCTCCTCACCATGTTCCTCCCACACTAATCCCACCAACCTGCCAGCCCATCCCAGCTTCCACGCCCCCTTCGCCCTTCTCACCTGCTTCACCCTCCTCCCCTCGTGGCGTCCCCCGTGCAAACCCCACTCCCACCTTCCACTCCAGGCAATACCGCGAGTCCTCCTAGGCCTCCACACATATGTACAGATTGCTGTCGGCTGGGGAATGGGCACAGCCATGGCCCTTATCTTTTGTGTCGACTCAAAAGTTTCCTCTCCTCGCGGTCTCCCCCATCCAAACCCCACTCACACCTTCCACTCCAGGCCATACTGCGAGTCCTTCTAGGCCTCCACACATATGCACAGATTGCTGTCGGCTGGGGAATGGGCACAGCCATGGCTCTCCTCTGGTCGAATGCCGCCTCCTCTCTCCCGCAGTTGCCGTTTCTGCAGCAGCATGCAGCGTGGGTCGATGGGGGTGTGGCAGTGGCGGGAATGGTGATGTTTTCTCTCTTTGTTCTTGTGGAAGTGAGGAAATGGCTTGCCAAGGCTGGGGGAGGGGTGCGACGTGGGGGGGAGAACGGGTGAGCTGAGTTACCGTACCTGTGTGAGGTGAAGTGGACTGGGAGTTGAAATGATATGATTTACCAGGCTTCAGCCCGGCATGCGACTCACTTCACGCACTTCTATGAGTAGACCTCGAAAATCTCATGCGTCTCAGTTCTTGTACGGTATCTTCACTGTAAAGAGTCATTTCGATCTGTTGTGAGCTAGGGTTAGGAGGCTGCATTCTGTTTTGTTGTGAGACCTATGCGGTGAGCAATCTTGCAACTGCACATAGTAACGGAGTCGAGCGTCAGATTCAAGCAGGGTTAAATATCGAACAGTGGTTATTATGAAGCATGTGTGGAACAGTGTGATGATGGTTGTTCAAATGGAGACAGTTTGCATGCAGCTGGAACCTGGATGTTATAAGTGTTGGGAACAAATAAGTTAAGCGCCTCTGTCGTGTCAGTACTCAAGACACAAAACGAAGCAGCTCAAGTCGAAGCAGCGCGAGTCAACCAACGAGGTTAACGTAACCGTCGGAGGTTACGGGAAAGTCAAAGGGCAGCGACCTTTGACCTGACGCAGCGCGACAGCAAGGACAAACAACTGACTCGACATTGAGCAGTTGCCCGAGTCGCACTGTATCGAACCGCAACAGTAAAATTAGTTATAATGTCTCTTCATATTCTCTGTACTCATCTATTTATGTTCTTGTATCTCTTTGCTTTTATCAACTTACTTTGCCCTCACATACTAGCGCAAGGTGGTTCAAGAGCTTTATTCAACGCTTCCGCAAACACAACATCTACTCAGACTTTAACTCTACAAAGATCGTAGGGCGTTTCAGCCCAACAATAAGCATGCCAAAAACCATGAGATATGTTATCGTGCTGTCGTAGGTTGATACTGTATCAGTTCGCATGGTTCCTTTGATACTTTCTCGCACTAATTTTATACGTAGAATCCAGAAGAACTCATGGTTGCGGACAAGCGTGGCAGAAGCACCGTACGGTACCATCTTATCCTGAGATGGAAGCCACGTGACTATATAATAATATAACATAAGAGAAGCAGCCGCAGCACAAGAGGTGCCCAACCAAGTAACTCAGTGCATGTGGGTTGCCCATGCCACCGCTCCCAGTGCGCCTCCTCCAATGATCGCCAGAGGTGCTGGGATCTGCACGGAGCCACATTCCCCAGCCAGCACGCATTGCATCCGTACAGCACAAACAGTAGGGTATGACTTGGCTTATTAGACACCAGTAGGGCATTAACAGCTGCACAAGGACCCCAGGAGGCTGGCTTGGCTTCTGTTCTGAGGCGCCTCAGAAGTCCTCTACTCTCTCACTCTAGTGCATGGAATGGACAGTCATGACTCATGCAGTACATAAGGCACTGCAATTGCCAACGTGGCCTCTTTTCCAGCAGCAAGGTATGCAGTACCCGACTGTTTGAGGGGCCATGTGGGGCGACTTTGAGTCGAATCGTGAAGCCATATTTTTTCCCAGAAGCAGCACATGCAGCACACACACACACGCGTGCGCTGCGCAGTATTTGAGGTGCCTCAAAAACACATGAGGCATGCAGACACGCAAGCACGCCCTGAGAAAGGTGCTGCGTAACTTGGTGGCTAACTAGCCAATCATGGCAATGCAGAGCAACTTTTGAGTCGACTAGAGGAACCATCTTATTGCAGCAGCAGCAGCAGCAGCAGCAGCACGCGCACACACACACAAACACACACAGACACGCATGCGCTTGTACCTTGAGGAAGTTGGTGGCAGCGTAGCCAATCATGGCAATGCAGAGCGAGGCCATGGGGAAGGGACTGCGGCTGTACGTCTGTAGACCCAGCGTGAACACGGACGCCCAGATGAGACCAATCTGTGCAGCAGGAGAGAGAGAGAGAGGGGCGGAGGAGGGGGGGGGGGGGAGAAGAAAGGGCATGTGAGAGAGTGCATGACATTGTGAGGGAAGGGGTATGCATGGTTTGGGGTGACGGAATGGGGACAATGTCGGTGCAAGGCGCTTGGAGCGTTTGCGCAGAGGAACAAAGTCGGATTTGGGGCAGGGTGGAAGAGAGTGGGATTCATGCACCAGTTGAGCATATGGGCTGAGATTCGGGGCAGAGAGAGACAGATTGAGCAGAGAGGGGCAGATTGCCAAGGGGGGTGGACTGGAAGTACGCAATTAGCCAGTAAGGATGAGCGACGGGGGCTTACTGCAGTGGAGTTGAATCCTGGTGTGGCACGCTTGTAGCTGCATGGCAGGCGGATAGGATAGGGATACAGACAGGAGGCAAGCAGTGAGAGGAGGGATGTGGATGTTGAGAGAGAGGGAGTGCAAGCAAGATTGAAAGCAAGAAGGGGACGTGGAGGACAGACGGGTTGCGGCAAACAAACACTTATTGCCAAAACGCGCCCCTCCCCACTGCTGCCTCCAACCCTTCCCACCCACCACAAAACCCTCTCCCCTGTGAAACCCTATAAACCAGTAGTTTTCTCTATCCAACACCTCCCCCCGCCCTCCCCTCCCCAACCCAATCCTGAACTCGTTGCTGCTGAGATGAGCAGCTCACATGTGCCACTGGCGGAAGATGAGAAGCGGCCCCAGAAAGGGCGAATGCCGTAGATGAGCAAGCACGATGCCGAGGGAGAAAGAAAGAGCCCCAGCCAGCATTTAAAGCCCCCTCCATTCTCCCAGCTATCACTAAAACCCCCCGCCACCTCTTCTCCCCCTAGCGCTTCCCCCCCCCCCCCCCCGAGCAGTGCAGCTCACATGTGCCACTGGCGGAAGCGGCCCCAGAAGGGCAGAATGCCGTAGATGAGCAGAATGCCCGGCGAGAAGAGCCCCAGCCAGCACGCCGCTATGCCTCCGAACTTGCCGATCTGCGACGAGATGGGAAAGGGAGAGGGTGGGTGGGTGAGTGAGTGAGTGAATGGGTGGGTGAGTGAGTGAGTGAATGGGTGGGTGAGTGAGTGAGTGAATGGGTGGGTGAGTGAGTGAGTGAATGGGTGGGTGAGTGAGTGAGTGAATGGGTGGGTGAGTGGGAGGGTGGAGCGGCGGGTGTGGTATGGAGAGGTGGGTGGTTGAGAGCGAATGAACAGCCCGTCCAATCCAGTCAGCCAGGCAGCCAGGCATGCCAGGCATGCTGCTGTTGCGCTAAGCCGGAGGAGGGCTTACACATTGAATCAGGAGGCTTAGCGCAACGCACAGGCAACAAGAAGCACCTACACATTGAGGGAAAGAAGGGTACATGTGGAGAGGGAGGGTGTGTTTTGAGTCGACTCAAAACGCACAGGCAACAAGAAGCACCTACACATTGAGGGAAAGAAGGGTACATGTGGAGAGGGAGGGTGTGTTTTGAGTCGACTCAAAACGCACAGGCAACAAGAAGCACCTACACATTGAGGGAAAGAAGGGTACATGTGGAGAGGGAGGGTGTGTTTTGAGTCGACTCAAAACGCACAGGCAACAAGAAGCACCTACACATTGAGGGAAAGAAGGGTACATGTGGAGAGGGAGGGAGGGACCCGCGCTATTTTTCGGGCACCCCCCCGCATGTGAGGTACCCTCGCCTCGTCAAAAAAAAGCTGTGCAATCGCTAAAACATACACTCAGAACGCAGTCCGTGCAACCGACTCCCAATGGCACCCAGGTAAGTATGCGGCGAAGTAGAAGAGTGGGCCGGGCATGGCCGGTGCGAGGTAGGGCGGGTCCAGCCAGCCATGTTGAGTGGCCGAGCATCGCACTTGCAGTGGCCCCAGCACACGCTCAAGGCCTGTATCCAATAGACACATTGTCACAATAGACCCATCCATGCAACCGACTCACAATGGCTCCTAGGTATGCGGCGAAGTTGAAGAGCGGCCCGGGCATGGCCTGTGCGAGGGCAAGACCGGCCATGAACTGCTGCTGCGTCACCCACGTGTTGGGCGACTCTGTGCACTGCAGGTCCACGCACATGTGGGGGGGGGAATGGAGGGATATGGGGGGTTCTTTCGAGGTGGCGTTCGAAAGTCGCTACGTCACCCATGTGTTTGGGGACTCCGTGCACTGTAGGTGCGTGCGCGCACCTGGGGGAGGGGGGTGCGGCACGGCAGGGGTGTTGGGGGGGAAATGAGGGGTGAATGTGGTGGGGGATGTGTGGCGGGATGTGGGGAGGTATGAAGAGGGAGATGTGGGGAAGGGGGGGAGGGGTTGTGGAGGCATCGGGAGAAATGAACAGATGGCGCATGCTTGTTCCTATCGCCGAGGTATTCACAGCGCACCCTGGGAATTATGGCAGTACTGTACCCATGCATGGACAGCCCCCAGGCCCCAGCCCCCAGCCCCAAAACTGCTGATAGAACATCCATCACAAGTCAGCAGGATAGCGCGCGTTCCCATGCATGCATCCACCGCCACCTCCCCTCTGCCATGTTTAAATCCCTGCATGCATGCATGAAAGCATGAGTGTGTGCATGTGGGTATGTGTGTGTGTGTGCATGCATGTATGTGTGCATGAGCATGAGCACAGCACGCGCAGCGCCGCCATTCCTGGGGCATATAGCGCACCACGACGACATGCGTGCATCAGTGCGTGCGCGCGTGCGTGCGTGCGTGCGTGCGTGTGTGCTTGCTTGCGTGCGTGCGTGCACGTTTGCGCGCATTCATGCGCTCGTGCATTCGCACATTCACGCATGCACATGTGCATGAGCATATCACGCACACGGCCGCCATTGCTGGGCCACTCATAATGCACACCACGACATGCGAGCATTAGTGCTTGCATGCATGCCTGCGTGCATGTCCATGTGCATGTGCATATGCATAGGCATGTTCGTCTGCATGTGCATGCATGTGCACTGCGCGTCACGCACAGCGCTGCCATTGTTGGGGCAGTCATAATGAACCACCACGTTCTCCAGCAGCGGCAGCACCACCTGTCCTCCGCCGTACGTCACCGACCCCGTCACATAGAAGCCCTGCCAGGGAGAGAACACCACGGAGGACAGTCACAGGAGTCACAGGAGGGGAGACAGATTGCACACCCAGAACACGAATGAATCAGGGCTGGCAGCGGCAGCACCACCTGTCCTCCACCATACGTCACGTCACCGACCCCGTCACATAGAAGCCCTGCCAAGGAAGGGGTGAGGAAGGAAGGACCAGGGGGGTAGTCGTAGAAGACAGATCGCACACACACACATACACACACATACACACGCACACAAACGCACACACAAACACACACACACGCACACGCACACGCACACACACACACACCACGAATGAACAGTTGCTCCTGAAGCTCCTCTGATTGATAGCCTCTCTCTCGGTCTCTGCACACACCCCCCTCCTCTTCCGTAATAGGCCATCACATTACGGAACCCCACCTAACCCCCTCTCCCCTCCCATTTCCCCTTTTTCCCCATCCCTTCTCCCCCTCCCGTCCCATCCTCTCTCCCTTTCTCCCCTTCACCTCGAACCAGTGCATCCACTGGGCGTTCTCGTACGGCACGGCGTTCTTCACACCCATGTGCCCTCCAAAACACCAACTCTCTCACACCCATGTCCCTCTTCTCTCCACTCCATCCCCTCTCCCCATCCCGCCGTGCCCCTCGCACCTCGAACCAGTGCATCCACTGGGCGTTCTCGTACGGCACGGCGTTCTTCACCACGATGGACGTCACCAGCAGCGCCGCCCACACGAAAATCAGCAGCGCGCCACCCCACCAGCTCAACCCCAGCTTCTCAATGTCGCTGCGGGCCGGAGGGATGGGCTTGTTGTGCCCGATAATGACTGTGATGAGCCCGCCTGGGGTTGGGAGTGGGGGGGGGGGGGGAGGGGGGAAGGGGAGGGGGAGGGGGCAGACTATGTAGGTTTGATTCCATTGCAATGTCGCTGCGGGCCGGAGGGATGGGCTTGTTGTGCCCAATAATGACTGTAATTAGCCCGCAGGAGGGGAGAGGTGGGGGGAGTGGGGAGGAAAGGAGGGAAGGAGGAACGGGACAGGGGAAAGAGGGAGAGGGAGGAGCGAATAGGGCACTGGCAAAGGTGAATTCTGAGCCGACTCACGCGTCGCTGCGGGCCGAGGGGATGGGCTTGTTGTTGTGCCTCATAGTGACTGTTAGTTGGGCTTGTTATGGGCCGAGCTTAGTGGAATTGGTGTCAGTATTGCTGCTGCTGTAGTGTACACTGCACCACCACAGTCCATCGCACAAACACGTGGCGCAAGGCAGCAGCACAGCGCAAAGAAGCAACGAAAACCGCGGCGCGATGCGCGACGCACGCACACTGACTGCACCGATTGATGATGAGGACGCACTCCAGCCACCGCCACGCCACGCCGCGCAGCGCAGCGCAACGCAACGCGCAATGCCGCAACGCATTGAGGTGTTTCCTGAGGCGCCTCAAAAAGGCACGTCATTCACCGCCGCGCAACGCAGTGCAGCGCAACAGGACGGACACACGCTGCACGCACGCACGCACGCACGCACCGACGAGGATGATGGTGGGAAAGAGCCACTGCGTCTGGTAGTAGAAGGTGATGACAGCCGCGGCCACACAGAGCACCTTGGACACTCGGTCCTTGCACACCTTCTTCCCCAGCATCACCGCTGCCTCCGCCACCAACGCCACTGCTACTGCTGCCAGCCCTGCTGATATGGCTGTCAGACACACGCCCGGGTCGACTAAGAACTGGTGGGTGGGTGGGTGGGTGGGTGGGTGGGATGGATGGATATGGATGGAGATGGATGGATGGGAATGGATAGGGATGGATGGAGATGGATGGGGATGGATGGAGATGGATGGGGATGGATGGACACGCACGCACGCACGCACGCACGAACACACACACACACACACACACACACACACGCACGCACGCACGCACGCACGCACGAACACACACACACACACACACACACGCACGCACGCACGCACGAACACACACACACACACACACACGCACGCACGCACGCACGAACACACACACACACACACACACACACACACACGCACGCACGCACGAACACACACACACACACACACGCACACACGCACGCACGCACGCACGAACACACACACACACACACACACACACACACACACACACACACACACACGCACGCACGCACGCACGGCACCGAATCCCGCAAGGCTCATGACGATGAGACCAGGGTACTGGAAGAGGATGCCTGAGAGCAGCTTTGAGCCGACTGATGTAGTGTATGTCAACAACACGTAGCACCCACCCACCCACCCACCCACCCACCCACGCACCTTAGCAGCGCCAAAGCCCGCAAGGCTCATGATGATGAGACCAGGGTACTGGAAGAGAATCCCTGAGAGCAGCCCGCCCGAGATGCCCTTCTGCAGGATGCCGATGGCGAACGACATTTGCGTGGATGATGGGCCTGGGACCGTCTGGCAGAGCGCTAGCAGCTCTGCGAATACATCGTCTGACATCCACCTGCGGAGAGAGGGGGGAAGGGCGAGGGGCGGGGGGCGAATGACATCTGCGTGGATGACGGGCCTGGCACGGTTTGACAGAGCGCTAGCAGCTCCGCGAATACATCGTCTGACATCCACCTGCGGAGTGAGGGACGAGGGGTGGGGGGTGAGGGGTGGGTGTTGTGTTGAGGGGTGAGGGGTGAAGAGGACGGAGATCAACAGTGGGTGAGGGGATGATGAAGAAGAGATGGAGGGGAGAGAGGGAGAGGCCAGGCCCGGGGTACTGGAAGAGAATGCCGGAGAGGCAGCGGAGGGCAGCGGAGGGCAGAGGAGGGCAGCGGAGGGCAGCGGAGGGCAGAGGAGGGCAGCAGAGGGCAGCGGAGGGAAGATGTAACGAAAGGGCAAAGGGGCAAGAGGGCAGACAGACAGACCACCGAAAGGGGGTGATGGTGTAAGGAACGGCGGGGCGGGCGTGGATGGAGGGAAGGCGGTGGCTTTTGGATTTGGATACAGGAAGTGTGAATGTGAATGTGAAGCCTACTCCCTCGCCCGAGCCGGACTTCGAGGGCCTTGTGGATCTGCGAAATGCCTCAAAACTTCAGCTCCGCGCAGCTCTCTCCCCCGCTCTTCCCCCCTCCCCCCCCCCCCGCCCTTTTCCTCCCCCCCTCGCCCCTCACCCGCGCAGCTCGACGAAGTCCTTGTGAACTGCGCGATGTGCAACTTTAAGCGTATCAAATCTTCAGCGCCGCGCAACTCTCTCTCCCGCACCTCCCCCTCCCCCGCTCCCCCTTCCCCCCCTCACCCCCGCAGCTCGACGAAGTCCTTGTGGAACTGCGCGATGTGCGCGGACGGGCCTCCGAACGCCGTCCAACCCAGCACCGCGAACGCCATCACAATCGCGCGGTAGCTTCCGCGGGCGGTCTGGGGACGCAGGGGGGACGCGGGGAGACACGGAGGGGAAGCGGGGGATGGAGGAGAGGGGGGAAGGAGGGAAGGGGGGAGGAAGCCGAGGGGGAAGGTGGGGGTGAAGCGGGGGAGGGGGCGGGAGAGGGTGGTGGGCATGCGGGACGCACCAGCTCTGTCAATGCTGCCCGGCCGTTGGTGCATGTGCGCGTCGTTTATTGAAACAGACGACAGAGAGGAGCTGCAAGGAGAGGTTTGGTAGGAGACGGGTCGCAGGGGTCGCAGGGGTCGCACGGTTCACCTTGGGAGGCTCTTCCACCACGACGACTGGCGGCACCACAGCGAGAGTTCCGTCGCTTTCGCCGCCATCGCCACCTTCAGCAGCACCAGCACCGTCCGCAGCGCCAGCAGCATCAGGAGCATCGGCAGCGGCCTTGGAGTCTTTTCCCGCCTTCCCCTCCGCGTCCCCGTCCCCCTCCTCGTCGCTGCTCTCCCCGCCGCAATCCTGAAGCACGGGTACGTCCGCCGTCCCCGCCTCCTTCCCCTTCTCCCCCTTCCCCGCGTCCCCGTCTGTTCCACCCGCCCCGTTCACTGCGCCCTCGAGAACCGCATTCTCCGGCGCTGCCTCGGTCCGAGGCTCCAGCCGAACCTCAGGCTCGGGCCGGCTGTGGTCCGCCGTCCCGTCGACCATAGTTGCAGCTACGCTGCACGTGCGCGCGCGGGATGAGAAAATTCACCGGAAAGCAGTGAAACAGAGGAAGGGGAGAGAGGCTAGTACTTGTTACAAGAATCACGAGCGACAAAGGGGGTTTTGTTGAACCGTAATTTGACATGCGGCGCAGGGTAGCGGAGCTCGCCATGGGTACGCGGCGCCGACACTCACGGGAATGCAGCAGGAGTCGAGAACCCTTCTCAAGGAAGCAATCACAGGACTGGGTAGGAACAGTGGCAGTGGCTGGGGATGAAGCTTAGTCCCCGCAATAGACGGAATGGTGCTGGAAAGTCAACCGGGGTCTAGGGTTTGGTGGCTTTTACACTGCGTCGCGGGGCTTCGGTAAGCCCCTGAGCTGCTTCGGGCCTATCGAGCTCTGAAAATTTTGACGCTACGCGCCAGGGAGAGGCAGCTTTGTACAGTCATGCGTGTCTGTTCCCCTTCCCCCTACCCTCTCTGCAGACTGCCGTGATTCGATTCGTCCTCGCATGATGCGAGCGAGCGACCCTAGCTGAACCCCTACCAGAATTGAGTCAAAACGACGGTCTGATTGGAAGTGTTGGAGGAAAGGTGCTGTCTACACACACCACAATTGCGGCAACACTTGAGTAAAGCGTGGTCTATTTATGTTTTAAAGTGGTCGAGTCGGGTATTTTGCAGAAATATGTCTTTCGGGAGCCACACCGCCGATTTCTTCGACATTCCGCGGTTCGGTTGGACATTGGTGAACCAGACCTGGACGTTGCTACAAGGTACACCGCACTGGGACGAATATTCCATTTCATCCATCCTGCAATTGTCCCATGCACGTCAACCACACAAATGCCTGACTTCGCAGCCACAAGTTTCCTGTCATCGTTCGCCAGTTTCGCGGCGGGCATGATGTGACCACTGGTAACAGGGCTGTAACATTATTGGCAAGGGTCAGAGTAAATGGCAAAAGTCATTTGGACCCATAACATTCTCACCACGCATTTTTCCGCCACCAGCACTCTCCAAATTTTGTTAATCACATCCATTTCCTGTTAATTTACAAGCAACAGTGCTCCGATTTCATGCTCAATCACATGCACACTTGCTCTCCTGGGTTAGCAAAAGTTGTCAAAACTAAATTATATGTTTGTAGATTGTTGTGGGGTAGCCCATCTAGAGTACAACCTTTTTAGGGTTAGGTACTCGTACTTCCTTTCCTTGCTAGTGAATCACTTCTGCCTGATAGTTTCTAACATGGTATACAGAGCAGTAGGTCCGTAGGACCGTCTTTTTTTTCCGGGCCCACCATCCACTGCGGTTGTCGTGCTACCTCACGCCCTGCCTTGCGTCGCGCTGCTCGTGCGCGCCCTGCCCTGCCCTGCCCTGCCCTGCGCTGTGTCGCATGCCTGCAGCCCGCGCGGCCCGCGCCCTGCCTCTGCCCGCGCGTTGCCCGCTTGCAGCCCGCGCGTCGCCTGCCTGCAGCCCGCGCGGCCCGCGCCCTGCCTCGGCTTGCCCCCGCGCTGCTCTTGCCGCCCGCGCGCCGCTTTCGCCTGCCCCCGCGCAACCCCTGCCGGCCCGGGCGCCTCTCACCTACAGCCTGTGCGGCCCGCGCGCTGCCACTGCGGCCCGCGCGCCGCCTTTAGTCGCCCGCGCGCAGCCCTTGCCGGCCCGCGCGCTACCTTTGCCCGCCAGCGCGCAGCTCTTGCTGGCCCGCGCACCGCCTTTGCTCGCCCGCGCGCCGCCTCTGCCCGCCCGCGCGCAGCTTCTGCTGGTCCGCGCGCCGCCTGTCTGCAGCCCTTGCGGCCCGCGCACTGCCATTGCCACCCGCGCGCCGCCTTTGCCTGTCCGCGTGCTGCCTCTGCCTGCCAGTGCGCTGCCTCTACTGCCCGCGCACTGCCTCTGCTGCCCGAGCGCCGCCTCTACCTGCCCGTGCCCCGTGCTGCAGTTATGGCTACGCTCAATGTCCTAAGGTTCGACCCCGACGGCCGCCCGATAGAGTTCGCCACGTGGCTCGATGACCTGCAACTGTACCTAATGACCAATGCTAAAGACGGCGTTTCCCTGTTTGATCACGCGTCTGGCTCCTCAGTTGCTCCTCCTAACACAGCCGACAGCCTCTCTCGTTCACAGTGGCAGACCCGTGACGCAGCTGCTCGCCTAGCTATTCGCAACCATCTGCCGTTAAGTGAACATGCTCACTTCGCCCAGCACAAGACTGCTAAGGACCTGTACACCGCTGTAGTCGCTCGCTACTCTTCCCCTGCCACTGCTGCTCTTAGCGGCCTTATCATGCCCTACCTGTTCCCAGAGCTATCCTCTTTGCCACAGTTGAGGACCTCATCTCCCACCTTCGCGCTAGTGACGTTCGCTACCGTGCCGCTCTCTCTGCAGAGTTCTTAGCCACGAACCCGCCCCCGATGTACATCACGCTCTACTTCCTAGTCACCCGCCTCCCTGACTCTCTCCTAGCGCTTGACCCTACCGCCCTCACTGTCGACAACTTCGAGAATCACCTCCTCGCAGCAGAGAAGAGCATTATCACTGTAGGTGCTGCTCGTTGCACTCCTCGCACACCCCTCTTTGAGGAGTGTTCCTCCTCCCCCCTTGCCCCCTCCTACGCTTATGCTGCTGCTGCTGTTTACTTCCTTCGTGCTGAGGAGGTCAGCGCTGCATCTGCTCCTAGTGGGAAGTGCCGCAGCGGCAAGGGTAAGGGAGGCAGGAGTGGTGGAGGTGGCGGCAGGGGGGGGGGGGGCGGTGGTGGAGGCGAAGGGGGTGGTGGAGGTGGCGGAGGTGGCGGTGAGAGTGGTGGCAGGAGTGGAGGCTTCGGTGGCGGCGGTAGCGGTAGTAGTGGGAGTGGGAATGGAGGCGGCAGAGGCGGCGGCAGTGGGAGCGGTGGCAGTGGAGGCGGCACCGGCGGTGGTGGCGGCAGTGGGAGCGGTGGCGGCGGCAGTGGTGGCGGTCGGGGTGGAGCCTTTCAGAGGGGAGGCTCTGGTGGTGGCCAGAGGCAACAGCACCAACAACGTCCGCACGAGTCCCTTACACCCCAGCAGCTTCGTGAGTGGTATGCTCAGCGTGGGGCGTCTGGGGGTGCTGTCCGCTGCCCGTATGTCATTCGCATAGGTCCCCGCACTGGTCAGCCATGCGGGAAGTTTCACACCGAGTACAGTTGCTTCTCTCGTCTTGATGATCCTTGGCGCACACAGTTTCCTAATGCACCTGAGCTCCCTTGCTGGGCTGGCTTGCTTAAGCACGATGTAGATATCTTCGCTCTTGACTATGATGCTGTTCTTGGTGCCATGTATGAATTGTCTGTTACTGCTGAGGGTGACTATTTCCCGTGTGTGCCGCCCGACCCTACTATAGAGGCTGCTGCTCTAGGTGCTAGTGAGTTTGCTCTCTTTGGTACTGTGCCTGCTGAGGCCTTGCACACTTTCACGCTTGACTCAGGTGCTGCTCGCTGCTTCTTTCGCGACAGTACCATAGTTACGCCTCTCACTGCACCTGTTGCACTCTCTCTAGCTGACCCCTCAGGGGGCCCAGTTCTTGCTTGTTCCACCACTGTTCTCCCGTGTCAGGCGGTTCTGTCTGGCTCACTGTCAGGTCTTCCCCTCCCCTCGTTCTCGACGAACTTGGTGAGCAATGCCGTCCTCGAGGACGCATGGGTTGATACCTTTACACCTGGAGGGCAGTGTGTGGCAATCTGTACGTGCTCCCGGACTGGTCGTCACCTGGCCACGTTCACCCGTCAGCCTGGGTTGAGTCTGTACACACTGACTACTGAGCCTCCTTAGGTAGCTCCGTCTGGTCAGGTGTCTGCGTCGAGTCAGGTAGCCACCCCTTGCTTGTGCCGGCACCTCTCTCACCGGACTCTCATGTGGCACCACTGCCTTGGTCACCCCTCCCTGCCACGCCTCCGTGGCATGCACTTCCGTCTCCTTGTCTCTAGACTTCCCAGGTCTCTGCCCCCTCTCCCGCGCTCGCCTGCCCCACCCTGTCTTCCCTGCGTCGTGGGGCGGCAGCGCGCCGCTCCTTACTCCTCCTCGTTCCCTCCAACAAAGGCTCCTCTGCAGACTCTCCATATGGACGTGTGGGGCCCAGCCCGCGTCCAGGGACAGGGCCGCGAGCGGTATTTTCTTCTGTTGTTGATGACTACACACGCTACACCACGGTCTTCCCTTTTCGCAGCAAGGGGGAGGTCCCTGATGTCCTGATCCCTTTGATCCCCGCAGTCCGTCTCCAACTCTGCGAGCGGTTCCACCAGGACCTTCCTGTCTTGCGTCTGCATTCTGACAAAGGTGGTGAGTTCTCCTCCGACCTCTTGCGGGACTTCTGTCAGGAGGAGGGCATCACCTTGTCGTTCACGCTTTCGGCCTCTCCGCACCAGAATGGGGTTGTTGAGCGCCGCATTGGCTTAGTCATGGAGATTGCTCGTACCTCCATGATCCATGCGGCTGCTCCTCATTTTCTATAGTCGTTTGCGGATCGCTACGCTGCGCATCAGCTCAACCTCTCGCCTTGTGTCTCCTTGCCGGAGACCTCGCCCACACTGCATTTGGACGGGGAAGGTTGGCAATGCGTCGGTGTTCCGGGTCTGGGGTGCCGGTGCCTTTGTCCGCGATACCTCCGCGAACAAGCTCTTCGCCCACGCCATTCCCATTGTCTTCCTTGGCTTCCCCCCTGACGCACCTGGCTGGCAGTTTTACCACCCCACCTCGCGCCATGTTGTGTCCTCTGAGGACGTCACGTTTGACAAGTCGGTTCCCTTATACCGTCTCTTCCCCTACCGCACTGCCCCTCCCCCCCCCTCCTCCCCCCCCCCCCCCCCACCCCCGCCTCTCTTCCTCGCTCCAGGTCCTTCTCCGGCAAACCCCCTCCCCCCTCAAGGTCCTTCTCCCTCAGGTGTGTCTCAGGTAGACCCACTTCTCTTGGTTGAGCCTGTCGAGGTCACTGGTGACTCTGGTGCTGCTGGGGGTGCTGAGCCAGTGGGTGTTGAGCCTGAGCATGCGGAGCCTAGGGGTGCGAAGCCTGCGGGTGCGGAGCCTGGGGGTGCTGAGCGTGAAAGTGCTGAGCCTAGGGGTGCTAAGCCTGAGCGTGCGGAGCCTGGGGGAGCTGAGCCTGAGCGTGCGGAGCCTGGGGGTGCTGAGCCTGAGTGTGTGGAGCCTGGGGGTGCTGAGCCTGCGGGTGCTGAGCCTGAGGGTGCTGAGCCTGGGGGTGCTGAGCCTGAGGGTGCGGAGCCTGGTGTTGCTGAGTCTGGGGGCGCTGCGCCTAGGGGTATTGCTTCTCCACTACGGGAGCCTCTCTCACCGCAGCAGCTGCGAGAGTGGTACACTCAGCACTGCCGCCTTTGCAGAGGCGCTGCTGGGACTGGAGGCACTGTGGTTGGAGACGCGGGAGCTAGAGGTCCTGGAGCGGCCGGAGCTGGAGGTGCTGTGGACACAAGAGCTGGAGTTACTAGAGCAGCCGAAGCTGGTGGTGCAGCGGACACTGGAGCTAGAGGTGCTTGAGCTGGTGACCCGA